GACCCCTCAATTTTTTTGAAGTTAGTACAAGAACTTCTTGCTCGGACTCCCAACCAAACCCACGATCCCCTAATATAATGTATCTCGATGTCTTTAAATCCTCAACACAGCTTATAAAGATTGGAAATAATCCTTACATAACACACATCTCCAAAACTATACACGATGAATCCTTGATTTTCAACAAATCAGAATAATCCAAGGATAATTTTTAGTTGAATAACGCTTTGTATCACCTTCCAAACTACGCAAACTAACATGGCACCATATTTTCATATGAATGTTTATTATCTACCTACCGAATACCATTAGACGTGGACCCCTTAATAACATCATTATGCTTATTAATTCCCAAATTCTTCCGACGATTGAATCTAGCAAAAGAAGTGAGTACATGATGATTGCCTATACGAATTGAAGAAAGTTTCTGTTCAAGGTTGTTCATATCACCCATGCTAAGAAATCTAACAAACACAAGTCTTTTATTGGGCTTATACAATTCATGGTCACCATATATGTCCGAAACCCTACTAAATTTCTCAAATTCTCCATGCACATTATTGATACTTGACGAGTTAGGAAAATTTACTATATAATACGACACCGATGCGTTCTCCAAACAAAGAAAGTTAGGGTTTACTGGTTTTACAAGTTCCTTGGTCGGCACTTCATATCTATTCTAATTAGCATTATATCGTTTCTTGGCCTTTGGAAATTGCCATTCCCATTCACCATTGACCCCACTTGGTTTTACAGTAGCTTCCATCGAGATAGGTTTTCATTGATTACATTAGAATTCCACAATCAACAACGACAAGTCCACTATAATCAAAATTCACCACCACCCCGCCCCCGGCCGCAAGCTCGTGGACCGCTATCAATGTCGAGGTATAGAAAAGTCCATGGGAGCGTCACCGTTAAACTTTTTTTTCTCAAACTGATATTTAAACAGGTTTCACTTCATACACATGTTTAAATGTAATGGTAAAACGACATTAAGACTACTCGCTACGGGCCTGTGGAGGGGTGTTTTTGCCTACGTGGAGGCTCCTTAACGACGTTACCACGGCTGGAACATCGCCCCCGCCTCTAATTATGAGATGTGGCGTTATGAAATGTGGTATCGAGCACCAGAGGCAACACCCAATCAGATTATTTCCTTCTTTTTGTCTCTCTTTCTCTCCTCTTAACACCATGTTATAACATGGAAACACCACCACCGTTTCATGTTATAATATGTTCAAATATGAGATGACAATATTTGGCATCATAACCTTGTTGCCGACACCCAATAGTCTTCGACCTTTTTCAATATAATCTTTTACTTGTAACGTCGATGTGGCCCTCAAGCGCTAAAAAGCATATGTTATGCTAAATTGAATAATGAATTCTGGAAGTCAAACTTTCAATTTATTTGCCGAAAACATTGGCTTTTTGTTTTATAAATTTAATTTTCAAATGATGGAATCTTGTAGTTGACAATTTGCACTAGGGGTGGTAAAAAATATCCGCATCCGAACATCCGATCCGAAAAATCCAAAAATCCGATCCGAAAATACCCGAAAAACCGGATATCCAAAAATTCGGATACCCGAAATTTGGATATCCGGTTTTTCGGATTCGGATACGGATATTAAAATGTGAAAATTTCGGATATTTCGGATATCCGAAATATATAATATAAAAAAGTATTAAAAATAGTTTTAATGCATTGGGTTTTTCATTTGAAATTCAAAAAGACAAATTATTAACATTTTTACTTGGTATGCAAAGTGAGGATGGTATAAATGTTACATTTTTTATGTTGATTTTAGTAATTTGAGTTTGATTTCTCAAGATCTTCAGGTATCATGAGGTAACTTGCATTTAACCGGACGAAATGAAGTCTTATTATACCTAACAAATGCATGGAAACGTTGTTGTTCTTTGAGGGTTTATTTTCTTTATTTAAAACTAATGAAATTCGGATATCCGGTTTACTATCCGAATCCGTATCCGAAATTTCGGATATCCGAAATTTCGGATACGGATTCGGATATCAAAAATCAACTATCCGAATTTTCGGATATCCGGTTTTGAACACCCCTAATTTGCACTACATGGCGTAGGCCAATGGAAAACTGCATCCCATGAGTATGGACATAACAGTCATTTAACAAAGTCTAATATAAGTCTTCTACAATAATTTGCAGATTAAAAATATGTTTTTATGTTCACATGATCGTCATATATCTAATATACTTTTTATATTTCAAAAACGTAAAAAAAAGCACTCGTGTGAAAGCAATGTTTTAAAAACCGGTTTTTTAATTGAACCTGTCAGGTGACGTTTTCCGGTTCAACCGGATGGTCAAACCGGTTCTATATTTTTATATGTTTTTAATTATCCTGCATACATTGATTACAAAACTTGTCATCTTTTTAGTATTACAAACGTAAATAGAATGCAACATATAAAAACAATCATTATAGAAGTCAAAATCAAACAAAGAAGCCCAAAACAAACACAAAAATCCAAGAATGTCCGGTTCAACCGGTCCATTCCGGTTCAATGTAGCCGGTTGAACCGGTTTTTTACTAAAACTGGCCGGTTCAATCCGGTCAGGAAATCATTATAAAACCGGTCCAAATCGAACCGCCCTCACCTCCGGTTCCCGGTTCGACCAGTTCAACCAGCCGGTTCGAACCGGTTTTTAAAACACTGTGTGAAAGATATGTTGTGGTTGGTAAAACTAAGCAACAACATATTTAGATGCCATTTCTCATTGTTTATAAATAAATTATCAAATAAAATTTGGCTAATGTCATAAAAACCCTCAAGTTTTCAGGGTTTTGTCGGTTTTGCTCAAAGTTGAATTTTATGTCCGTTTTTACCCTAACATTTCCAAAAAATGTTTGGTTTTACCCTTTTACCGGTGATAACAGGCTACCATTATATTAACTTCGCAAAAAACCCTTAAGTATATAGTTTTTTTTACGTTTTTACCCTTAAGTTTATAATTTTTTTTATATTTTTACCCTATGTATTTTTTTTCATATTATACGTATTCAAGCAGAAAAATCATATTTATATATGAAAAAAATTTAATTAAATATTGTATTAACATTTTTTTAATGTTATTTCTTTATATATATATATATATATATATATATATATATATATATATATATGTGTGTGTGTGTGTGTGTGTGTGTATATGTGTGTATGAGTTTTTTTGTTGGATAAACCATTTAAAATGTAAAAAAAACAAATTAATATGTTTTTAGTACTACAAATACGTATTTTTATTTATTTAAAAATATACATATCAATAAAAAAAACTAGTTCATTCATAAACATGTTTATCTAAGGGGGTGTTTGACTTGTCTTTTTGAGAGGCAAAAGTCCTTTTTGGAAAAGTTACAAAAAGTCAGTTTTTCCTAACTTTTCCAAAAAGTCAGTTTTCCTTCTATCTAAAATCCAAAAGTAACTTTTAAAATGTTTTTACCAAATATCTTTTAGCCTTTATCTTTTCCAAAAAGGACTTTTGTCTCTCAAAAAGACAAGCCAAACACCCCCTAAGTATATACATATATTTTTAGAAGTGTAAATATGTATTTTGATATATGTTTTTTTTAAAGTATAAATATATTTTTAGAAGTATAGATATATATTATTATATATATATTAAAGTTGTGGAAGAAAAAAATAGTAAAGTTGGGATACTTTGTCCAGGTTTGGTCCCTTGATTTACATATCCGGTCCTTGTACTTCTTTAACTAATTTATTCATGTCCTTTTGTTTGTGTTCCATTCAACTTCCCATTTTTTTGGCAGAATTGGTCCCTGTATTATTGTTGGAAGTTAGGAATACTAAATTTGGATGTTTTTTGGCAACTTTGCTCATTATTCTTTACCCATTTTGACACTTTTGGTCCTTGCAATCAATATTTTTACACTTTTTTGGAACCTTTTAATATTTAAAGTTTGGCCACAAAACTTTAACAGTTTGCCAACTTTGATCCCTTTTCTAAAAAGTTGCTAATTCCTACCCCTTTAATTTTTTAGCCATTTTCACACTTCTGGTCCTTGCAGTCAAAACTTTTACATTTTTTGTCCGGGGCAAAGCCCAGACTTTTTCATCCTTGCACTTTATATGTCTGTCATATTTATCAATTCGGAAACAACATTGAAAGCTTCTGGCCCCCGCGTAGCGGGGGTAACCTTTCTAGTTAATATATAAAAATGTAAAAATATGTATTTATACTTCTAAAAACTATATCTATAAAACACATATTCATAATTCTAAAAATATTATTTATCTTTTTAAACGGTATAACCATGCAAAAACATACACACACACACACAAACAAACAAATATATATATATATATATATATATATATATATATATTATATATAATATTAACATTAAAAAATATATAAATACAATATTTAATTAAATATTTTTTCGTATATAAATACGATTTTTCTGCATGAATATGTATATTATGAAAAAAATATACTTAAGGTAAAAGTGTAAAAAAAATTATAAACTTAAGGGTAAAAACGCAAAAAAAAATGGTAAACTTAAGGGTTTTTTTTGCAAATTTAATATAATGGTAACCTGAAAAACCTGTTATCATCGGTAAAAGGGTAAAACCGAACATTTTTTCGAAAATGTTTGGATAAAAACGGACATAAATTTCAACTTTGGGCAAAACCGACAAAACCCTCAAAACTTGATGGTTTTTATGACATTAACCCAGTATAATTTTGTAAGATTTATTTATTTTGAGAAAGGATATATTATACATATGTATACCCAATATATTTTTGTCCGCAATTTTAATTTAATTTTTTCAGATTTAAAACATCTCTAAATATTATTAAAAGAGAACCTTAAATTCTACAATGAATAAACAAGGGCCCTTGATTGCATTTCCCTCCTTTAGTCTCCACCTTAGGATCGTTTTGCTGACATCATCCTAACCCAAAAAAAAAATACACGCGCCTTCCTTCTCACGATTCATTCTCACGATTCACGCCTTCCTTCTCACGATTCACGCCTTCCTTCTCACGATTCATTCCTAATTTCATTCTTAGGTTTTCTCTCCACACAATCAACACAATCAGCTCCCCATGAAACTTGTTTGAATATGATCGATACGCCACTTAGTCCCATGAAAGTTGTGACTAATTTGCAGGAAGCTGTTTGGGATGCTGATATTGTTCTTAAACTCGATCATCTTGTTTCCTACTCCTGGTGGTCAGTTTCGATTTCCTTTTGCTTTATGTTTTTGTGCATGGATTTTACTTTTATTTTGTTTGATGTTATGATGTTTGAATTATTGGAAATGTTATTGGGGTTTTTGCATACTTATGTTTGCTTCGAGATTTGGATCCTTTTTTTTTCTAGATTTTCCCCTCTAAACATGTTCACCCAAAGTTCCTATGCGAGTTTAGATTGAAAGAGAGAGTTTTGTTTCTTAAAGCTGGAGGTTTTTCAATACTTTATGCATGAATTGCAGAATGAAAGCATAGTGGATGATGATTTATTGTTGTATGCAGGGTCATTTTCTTCCCGCTTTTCCTATTTCATGCTGTTGTTGCCAGAGGAAGATTCTCATTACCTGCACCATCAGTTCCCCATGGCCGTGATGTATGATCTCTTTCTTTTTCTTCCTTTTCATCATCATTTTTCATTCACTGTAATAAGTAAGACTATAAGTATGAACAATCTGTATAAACCTTATGAACTGTGTCATTTCCATATCTTACATTATGCATCAGGGAATACTTTTCCTTTCTCTTTTATGTAGTGGGCACCATGGCATGCAGTTGTTGCCACACCTTTGCTTCCTCTGTTGGCATTTGAAGTAACCATTCTTGTTGACAATTTCAGGTGATTGTCTATTCTCTTTACAGCCTGGTTATGCTAATTTGCAATGTACATAACTGATAATTTATCATTTACAGAATGTGCAAGGCCTTATTACCTGGAGATGATGAAAGTGTGAGTGATGATGCAATATGGGAGACACTTCCTGTAAGTTTATTTGATAAAGAAAGTATATTCATATCTATATGCCTTCACCTTTCTTCTCATATTTAATCGAAAGAGACCATTGTCTTTAAGAGTCTAAAAGCTCTGTTTTTCCCAGCATTTCTGGGTTGCTATATCCATGGTTTTCTTCATTGCTGCCACTGTCTTCACCCTCCTGAAGTTATGTGGTAATATTTTTTGGTTATCATCTACTTTCTAATTTAAAAAGTATCATGCATATGAACAATAAAATCACCATGTAGGTTTTTAATCACTTCTATTCACTTAACAGGTTTTGTAGATGCTTTAGGCTGGTAGGACCTACTCATAGATTTTGGGTATATTTCTTCTGACAGATTTTTCCCATCTTTCCTTTACTACAGGTGTACCATGAGTCAGACAAGAGGAGAACCAATCAATAGTAGTCCTGCATTTGAGAATATAAGTGCAGGTATTTCAAGGAGCTGATCAATAGTAGTCCTGCATTTAATTTCTAAATTGTCTCATGTACTAATGATTATATGCTTGAATCATTCGTCCTTTATTTTTCAGCTGTTGTTCTTTAATCAGCGAATACCCCGACTCAAGTAGACCTTCCACCGTTTGCTGATCAATCAAATCAAATATATTAGTTTTACATGCTTTAGATCCAAACTTTGGAGCTGATGAGACAACTAATACAATGTGTTTCTTAACACTTTATATCATCTGTTTTTTTTTTTTTTTGCCTTAACCCATTAAGGTTGGATCTAAAGCATGTTTTTTTTTCATCAAATCTTCGGTTTTCTCAAATTCTTTCTTATGTTTTTGTTGCTGCATGGTTTCAGTCTGATCTGGATAGAAACCTTTCCCAATCCTACACATTTTTTTATTAAATTGTTATATATTATCTATGTGTGATTACAGTTGGAATGAATGGGTTGGATTTGACAGATTAATGAAGTATACAGAAGAAAACATTTTAAACCAACAAGCACTTGACAAAAAACAGGTGCTTGACAAATATTCAAAAGGAAGATCAACTCAAACTCAAATAAATAATTTATTTTTACATATATTGAGAAATTTTAACTATCTATTTCTGTGTTACTTACTCAGGGGCAAAAGGGAAAAAGAGAAAGTAAAATTTAAGTATAGAGGCATGTTTATGTTCAAATTCAAACATTTCATATTTTTTTCATCATAAAATTTTTGTTCCCAAAATAACCCTATGCTTATGGTGTTAGAAATCATTAATGATTTCATTTACATATCATAGTTTATATCTCATATTTTACATATCATATTCATACCTTTTTTTGTAAGTTTAATTTTTTTATTATAAATCATTAATGATTTCATTTACATATCATATTCATACCTTTTTTTGTAATGTCAGATTCATCAGCTGCAAAAAAGAGGAATGTCAGCTTTTTAATATGAATCTGCTAATGAATTAATCTCATATCAACTTCCTTTTTGTGTTCTTCCAATTTTTATTTTTATTTTTTTTGTTTGTTAATGGTGGTTGCAGTGTTTTTTGCTGTTTCAAAAAGATCCAAGACCTTATGCAATAAATTCAAATCTGCGGATTGCTCCCTTCCATCCTGAACCAAGTCAAGTCACATTTGAAAAAAAAAAATAAATCATACCGCACCCTCCTTAAAAATTAGTTTTGTATTAAAAGTATTATTTGTTGTTGAATGATTGACTATCTGGAGTTGTAATTTATTTTTACATATATTGAGAAATTTTAACTATCTATTTCTGTGTTACTTACTCATGGGAAAAAGAGAGAAAAAGAGAAAGAGTGATTTAAGTATAGAGGTATGTTTATGTTCAAATTCAAACATCTCATATTAGATTATAAATTTTTTGTTCCCAAAATAACTCTATGCTTATGGTGTTAGACAGAGAATCGGATGAACGGACATCACCCTCCAGTAAGTTTAATTTTTTATTAAAATCATTAATGATTTCATAATAATATCATATTCATACCTTTTTTTGTAATGTCAGATTCATCATCTGCAAAAAAGAGGAATATCAGCTTTTTAATCTGAATCTGGTAATGAATTATGTGCAGATTGTGGATCTTCAAGTCCAAAATGGATGTAAGTCCTAAGCTTTAATATTTATCAATACAATTTTATTATATTAACTGTTTAGAAAATAATACCATGTATATCGGTTCTGATTCCATACTAATTTTGTTTTGTGCAGTTACTAAGCCTCCACCTGTAAGCCTGCAGATTGTCTTCCTTCCTATGTTGACATTTAACCATTCTTGTTGACAATTTCAGGTGATTGTCTATTCTCTTTACAGCCTGGTTATGCTAATTTGCAATGTACATAACTGATAATCTATCATTTACAGAATGTGCAAGGCCTTATTACCTAGAGATGATGAAAGTGTGAGTGATGATGCAATATGGGAGACACTTCCTGTAAGTTTATTTGATAAAGAAAGTATATTCATATCTATATGCCTTCACCTTTCTTCTCATATTTAATCGAAAGAGACCATTGTCTTTAAGAGTCTAAAAGCTCTCTTTTTTCCAGCATTTATGGGTTGCTATATCCATGGTTTTCTTCATTGCTACAATAAATTCAAATATGGGGATTGCTCCCTTCCATCCTGAACCAAGTCAAGTCACATTTGATAAAAAAATAAATCATACCCCACCCTCCTTAAAAATTAGTTTTGTATTAAAAGTATTATTTATTGTTGAATGATTGACTATCTGGAGTTGTAATTTATTTTTACATATATTGAGAATTTTTAACTATCTATTTATGTGTTACTTACTCAGGGGCAAAAGGGAAAAAGAGAAAGAGTGATTTAAGTATAGAGGTATGTTTATGTTCAAATTCAAACATCTCATATTAGATTATAATTTTTTTGTTCCCAAAATAACCCTATGCTTATGGTGTTAGACAGAGAGAATCGGATGAACGGACATCAGCCTCCAGTAAGTTTAATTTTTTATTAAAATAATATATGAATTCATAATCATATCATATTCATACCTTTTTTTTGTAATGTCAGATTCATCAGCTGCAAAAAAGAGTAATATCAGCTTTTTAATCTGAATCTGGTAATGAATTATGTGCAGATTGTGGATCTTCAAGTCCAAAATGGATGTAAGTCCTAAGCTTTAATATTTATCAATATATTTTTTTTCCATCTAATATATACAATGATCGGGTTTGAATTTGATAGATCATACAGAAAATCGACCTATCACTTCTTATTATCATATAAAATTCTCTTATTACTCTTTTCATAGTTTATATCTCATATTTTGTAATTATATTTGACATGGTATATTGATATTATTTTCGATATCATACCATATTTATTTATTAAAATATTATATATTTATTATCTTTTTTTCTTATTCTACAAGCTTTTCAAATTTACAGTTTTTATATGGTAATTATTATCTTAAATTAGGTATGATTTTATCTATTTTTGTACTTATATTTGACATGGTATATTGATATTATTTTCGATAACATACCATACATAAAACATATTTTAAGTATGGAAATGATATTACATTCCAAAATATTTATGTCATATTAGCATTAACCAAATTTATATTTCCCTATAAATATAGTGTCTACGATTTTTCATTCCAAATCAAAATTCTCTCTAACTAATTATCTCCTTTCATTGCAGGTAATAGTATTAGTATTCCATAGCAACAAACAATGCAGATCAGGTCGTCTTTGATAAGGTTGCTGAAATCAATGCATCCAAAGAGTCTTGGAACATACGTGTTAAAGTCGTCATGCTTTGGAAGCCGACCTATAAAAACAATCCTAATATGGTCACAAGCCTAGACATGATTTTAATTGACCAGGAGGTACTGTTTTTTACACACTTTATTTTTTAGATTGTCAAATTCTTATGTTATTTCTATTCAAAAAATTTTAAATTCGATTACTGTTATGCTTTTTTATTTCTATTCATATAATTTTAATAATCAACTTTATTATTTTTAATAATAAACTTTAGTCTATGTAATGAAATCTCTTATTATTCCTTTATTTTTTTTATCAATCTGATAAATTTACAATTATTCATCATCTTGTGATTTTGGTTCCTGATCCCTTCACTGGAATTTATTCTATGTAATAAAATCTCTTATATAATCAGGTCATATAATCAGCTAGTCACATTGTTTGGATACCTGTAACTTTGTTTCTTTTAAACGATAAAACAAAATAGGTTGGTTTTTCTGAACAAAATTAATAATAATAATAGGGTTTTTTTGTATATAATGAGATAATAGGTTGGACTTTACTGAATATTTCCTAGCAGAAAAATATGGATGTTTATCGATTTCAGTTCTTCTCTTTTAATTCTATGTTATTGAATTTGTTGATACTTTATCTTTAAATTTGTTTCTATTTTATTAAATTTTAATTATAATCAGCCAGTCACATTGTTTGGATACCTGTAACTTGGTTTCTTTTAAACGATAAAACAAAATAGGTTGGTTTTTCTGAACAAAATTAATAATAATAAAAGGGTTTTTTTGTATATAATGAGATAATAGGTTGGACTTTACTGAATATTTCATGGCAGAAAAATATGGATGTTTATCGATTTCAGTTCTTCTCTTTTATTTCTATGTTATTGAATTTGTTGATACTTTATCTTTAAATTTGTTTCTATTTTATTAAATTTTAATTAACAGGTATTATTTTTTTGTATTTTTAATACTTTTTTTACACTTTTTTATCTTTCATTGTCACCTACAGGGAAGTAGAATACAAGCAACAATAAAAAAAAAATCTTATTCTTGTATTTGAATCCTTATTCGATGAAGGAGCTGTCCGAGAGATTAGTAACTTCGCTATGGCTAGCGATGAAGGCGAATACATGCTTGTTCCTCATAAACATAAAATCAATTTCTACAGAACCACAAAAGTTCGTGTATCCACTGATTTTGTTGATACGGTAGATCCTTATCATTTTATCTCTTTCCCAGATTTGCTAGCCAGGAACTTTGACACTCGTGTTGCATTTGGTATGTTTTTATGTTATTAGTTTTAACTTATTTCTATACTTCAGTTTTTAGTGTAAAACACATTTGGATTATGATTACTAATTTATTATATTTTGTCACATAGATTTTCTTGGTGAAGTTGTGTCAACTGATCCCATGCGAGTCATTGTTGAGTATGGAAGAGAGAAAATGTTAATGAATCTGGTTGCTCAGGATTTAAGGTACATATTCGTATTATTATTACACATTCCCCCGTTTATATTTATCTTTCATTAATAACCACCATGCATTTTTAGTGGTACGAAAATTGCAGTCGCTTTGTGGGGCAGTTTTGCACTGAAGCTGAATACTTACATTTCACAACATAATGAGACTGCTCCTGTTATTATCCTGCTACGTTTTGGCGAAACTCAAAATTTGGGGTGGTAAGGATTTTTGAATAACAAATTATCATTTCAACTTCAAAGTAATTACTGACAATATTATTTTACTTTTTATTTGCAGGTCAGCCTCAAGTTAGTAATTGTTTGTTTGGGTCTAGATTGCATATAAATGATGAAATGCCTCAGATTTTAGAGTTCAAATCAAAGTATGTTTTTTTAATAATTATGAATCATGTAATGTTTTATGTTTTTGTATGATAACAACTGTAATTATGAATCATGTAATGTTTTATGTTTTATGTTTATGAATCATGTAATGTTTTTTTAATAATTATGAATCATGTAATGTTTTAGTTATTTACCATAGTTAACACATTTATCTTACAAAATCATTACTTTTGTTGAATAACCTCACTTTTTTGTATATGTAGTCTTAATGCTTTGGATACGAATGTTGAGTCTTCTAGCCGTACATCCCAGCTCAACTCAGATACTGTTGTGGCTAATCCAGAGGATTACTACCTCCATTTTCAAATAAAAAACATCAATGAGATTCCAGATTTTAATGAGGTTTACTTAACATTTTTATATAACAGTTTCCGTATTCTATTATTGTTTTGATTTTCTATGTACAATTCATATGAAATAATATTTTAATATGATTCCTTTCAATCCTATATATGAAACAGGAAGTTGGTTTAACCATCATCGCTACTATCATTGGTTTTGATATGGATGATGGCTAGTATTCATTTTATTGCCGTGATTGTTCTAAAAAAGTCACTAAAAATGATGATGATGTTGATGCTGGCCCTTTTCACTGTGATGGTTGTGGATTTGTCTCGGATGTACTTGGAAAGTAAGTAATTATTATCTCTTTGACTAGGCATGTATTTTACTTTTTTCATATATTTCATTGTGTATGTCAAACTAAATATAAGTATTATGTTATAATTTTTAGGATTAGGATAGTAGTTCGTGTGCAAGATGAAAGTGGGTCTTCTTCGTTCGTATTGTTTGAGCGTCATGTAAAAGATCTTATTCGTCGCGGAAACCAATGGTTTATGGAAAAAATAGCTAATGTTTGATAAAATATCTCCCTTATTTAAATGATTGACATATATGATTTTTCTTCTTTAACTTTTCCAACCATTTTATAATGTAAATTAGGACAAAATAAATAAATAAATAAATATATATATATATATATATATATATATATATATATATATATATATATATATACCAACATTCCCAAATTGGCTATGCATTGTACATTTATTTTTACTACATATTTTATAACAACAAATTTGCATTTTTTTTCGTTGTACCTTTAATCATAAACTCATACTTGCTGAAAGTTACATATTTTTTGTTATAAAAGTCTCGTTTAAGCATTATACTTAATGAACATTTAACTTCAAACAATCATTATTTTGTCCACAAACAGATAAAGGGCTCAAACCACAATTGCTAATTGTAGCAACCCTTCGTCCTTGATCATCTACTCTGAAAATGAAGATTTCCTTCATAAATTTGATTTCCATAGTATTGCTGATCTCCAACATGTACATCAGGTTTATATACACCACTTTCATTTAAAGTATATAAATTATGTGAAATTGTTTTTGTATTATTTATATCTTAATCGTTGATTTTTATTATTTTATATTAAAATTTAAACTGACATTGACATTTTTTTAGGAAAAAACTTTAATTGTTGTCGGTACGATTAAACAAGTATGTGCTGAAGGGGAATGAGCTTGTTTTACTTGTACTAGATGTCAATAGAAAGTCGAAAAACACATTTTAATCCATGATGATCAGTTTCCAGATAAAGAAGTTTTTTATTGTAACACTTCAAGCTACATTAACAAAGTCATTTCTGTTGTTCACAGGTTTTGAAACTTATTTTATAAATATTATTATATTGTTCTGTTAAATTATAAAAATTTATATTATAAATCTATTTACATCAATGCTTTCAGTTTTAAAATCACCATTATAGTTGAAGATATTACCGGTTCAGTTTCACTTACTTTATATGATTGTGACGCAAAGAAGCTTATAAAAAAACGCACAAGAGTTTTACATAGAACAAATTTATTATTTTGTGTATCTATTTTTATAAAGATTCTTTTTTTTAGGATGGTAATAACGAAATTTATCCATCTGCTCTTAATATACTATTGGAGGAAAAAGCTGGCGTTCAAAATTCAAATTTCACATGACATTTTGAAGAACAAAACAGAAGGTCATGCTATGCCAAGGATCACATCTAACAAATCAATCATAGATGAATTGGAAAAAATATTGAAAATGGATCGGGTAAAATTCTTTACCGTCAATACTACAAATTTTGTACTTATTATCATTTCAATTCGTATGTCATGAAAGATTAAATTTTAAGTTTTTCTAATATTACTATCTTATTACTATCTTATTATTTCTTTCTTTTGCAGTTATCATTATTGACTTTTGAACTAATTATTGAAATTCTTTCACGAACAACATTACAAACATTTGTTACTATACGTTGTACAAATAAGTATTATGGAAATCTAACATACAACAAGCATGTTCTTCATAACTACAACCGTAGAAATAATGTGGTTTGTGGGGTTATCGTTCAACAAAAAAAACAATGGGGAAATATAGAGCGTCGGTTTGTTCCGTCTTCTGCTAGCAACAATCTTGACATTGATTGGTTACCACATACTTGTACGATTTTAGCATCATCCTTGTGCGGACTCCTTCTTGTTGAATCCTATGATCCAAATGAATACATTTCAAAGATTTTATTTGTTACCAAACCAACGACTACAGATGTCAAATCGATACCGTTTCCGAGCTCTGAATACACTGCGGTAAAGTTTGCTTTCGTGGTTATCAGTTCAAACCCGTTACATTTCAAGGTCATTCGACTGTCATACACAATGCCATCGTAAGAGTTTATATGTAGTATATTTTATGTTATTAATTTACTTTATTATTTACTTATATCTTATTTTATTTGTAGTGATATGCTTAAGAAAAAAGTGGACTACGATTACTACAACATAGAATTGTTTTCATCTACTACATGGCAATGTAGGGAGTTTCAAAATATCCAGTTACTATCATTTGTTTATCCTGTTTCTGATGAGGCAGTTACAAGTGGCGGTGTAGTTATTTCTTATTATCTAATGATACCATATTGCGATTTGATATTTATTCAGAAGAACATACACTTATATATGCGCCTTCTATTATTAATGACTTCAAACCGTATGCATCGAGACTGATCAAGTTTCACGGAAAATTGGGATATTTCTCTGTAAGTGGAGATTGTTTTAGGTCTATTTGGGTTTTCATTCACAATCGATGGGTTAAAGTAGATGTTAGTACTTACAATGAAGGTGCACATGAATGGTGGGATTATAGAAACAATACCCTATATTTCTTTAAAGGAAATACGATTGAACATGTGGTTCCGGTACATCCTTCTCAACAAGTTTTTTCAATCCGTTCTGATTTTGATACAGTCACTATGCCAAGTAGATATATATATATATATATATATATATATATATATATATATATATATTATTTTGCATTCGAACATAGTTGCTTTTTGTAATGAACTATTTAAATATTTTATATTACTTTATGATTTATTACTTTTTTTTATTATTTTATTTGCAGTAAATGTTTTGGTAATTTTTTTAATACCTTCCCTGTGTTTAACGCGGGTTATAATCTAGTTTTAATTATTATATTATCAATGAAAACATATGTATTAGCTTACGCATTAAGCTTTTCTACATACGTATCATAACAACTTAGTATTATATGTTTCAATAATTGAAAATAATTAGGTGGTTATGATAATTATTGCTTTTATCTGATTACTTGTCTCATATGACCTACCCAGGCACACATGCATACAAATGGACATGACGTACAAAACAAAAATTGAACAAGAAGAAACGTAAAGCAAATGAATCGAAACAAAATAACAAATTAATGAATATTAATTATTGAAAACCATTAACTATTTGTTAATTTATAAGAAAAAAAATCATTGTTTGTGGTTAGGGATGAGATGTGTAACTGGAACCCGGGCCGGAACGAGTACCATTTTCTGGGTATCGGGATTTTAGGGTTTAGGCTCATCAGGTACCGGGCCAACTATGTATTAGAAAAAGAACCATAAATAAAACCGAGTTCGTAACTTAGCCTTATGCATGTGAATTGAACATCCCCCTCCTTCTGTTCATAATATGTACGAGTTTTCACGTCCCCATTCATGCCATATTCATATGAGAACTACAAAAAGATTACTCCTTGTTTTTACATCTTCATGAACTACATACCAGAGCCAAACACAAAAGAAACCAGGAATGAACAGAAATCATCATGAAATTAACATCAGCCCTTTCAATCCCGTTTCTGGCACAAACCTTAATTACATCACTTCCATAGCAAGTTTATTTGTGGGAAACGCATCAGAAAGAGATGAGCAACAGCCTTCCCATGGCTGGAACACATTACAAAAGTACGAAAACAGCCCCTTATTAGAAATGTAAGACAAAACAACCCCTTCATTTCTGGTTTTTCGATTTTTCCGGTTCTAAAACCTGAAACCGGTTCCACCCTACAGCCTTTGGACTTTTGGGTTTTAACCCATTTTGCCCGGTTTCATACCTGGAACCAAAGCATACCGGTCCGGTTTCCGGTTTCACTACTTCATTCTTTCCGATTTTCAGGTTTTTTGGTTCCAGGCGGGTCGGTTCTGACCAAAAGGAAAATTTATGATGAATAGCATGACTGTAAGATGGGATAAATGTTCCCAGCAATTTGGACTTGGCAAAACAGAAGTAACACGTAAACATCCATTTGTATTAAGAAGAGAACTAATGTTGTAAGCAACATGACCAAGTCTTTTATGCCATAAATCAAAAGAAGCAATATTATAAGAAATCACTGATGCCACCAATGCTTGAGATGCTGGATCCAAGACATATAAGTCATCCTTATGCTTGTCTGTCGCCAAAATTGTTTTGTGGAGGGTGTCCTGAATAGCAAAAGATGACCGAAAAAATAAAACATCACCGGGTAGTCATTAGTTAATTTGCTGACAGAGACTAGCTTCTTTTTGATATGAGGGACAATGAGAACATCTCGTAATTTTAAATTTGGGGCAAGCGAGAAAGTACCAATACGAGAGATGGGAAGTATATTACCATTGCCAAAAGCCACCTTGTCTTTGCCATGATAGGGAACCGAGGAATCAAATCCTGTCGAAGATGGAGCCATGTGAGCCGTTGCTCCGGAATCAACACACCAATCCGGAGGCGACTCATTTATGTTGCAATTTGCATTGAAAGCCTGAACAAGATTTGCAGCCGAATATAGAGATTGTTGAGCATAATTTCTGAGATCGGGACAAGCACTTGCATAGTGACCATCATGCCGACATAACTAACAATGAGGAGGTCGACGACCAGACCTCCCCCTGCCACGGGAAGAGGAGTCACCTCGATTACTACACTACCCAGATCGACCTCTCCCACGAGAGGAATTAAAAGCAACATGAGATGGAGTCGGTTCATGTAATGATGAGATAAACATCTCGTGACCTTCAGCTTGAGTCACAAGGGAACAAAAACTTGGGCGTATAGGAAGGGCCCTATAGGCAGTTGAAAAAGTTTCAAAGGTAGGTCCCAAGCCACACAAGAACTAGTGGCTTTTATCAGTTTCAGGAACCGATTTCCCAATAGCCTGTAATTTATCACAAATAGATTTGAACTGTTTAGCATATTCAGAGACAGAAAGGGAACCCTTTTTAAGCTGGCGCAGAGAATCCTTGAGGTTTTGTGACCGTTCTTGAGAATCATGACTATATGCGGATTCGAGGGTTGTCCAAACTTCGCGAGGGGAAGAAAGACCTAACACCTCTGCCATTGATTCTTCGGACAGAGAAGAGTGAAGGATTAAGAGTACCTTCTGGTCAACATCGATCCAAGCTTCATGGGATGGATTCGAGATTTCTTTGCCGTCAACAAGGATTTTGGGTGGCGGAATGGCAGAGGAGCCATCGACATGAGACATCCACTTCTGATGACTGAGAAGAGGGGTGATTTGATTTCGCCACAGAAGGTAATTGTTGGATGTCAACTTGATAGTGAGCATATGAAAAAGGGTGTTTAGAGAGAACGAGGTTTCTGAAGAAGAAGACATAGCGAGAGGATGAGAAAGTGGCGTGAGGCAGAAGCAGTGAAAAGAAATTAGGGATCGGTATTCTTAGGCTGATACCATGTAAGATGGGATAAATGTTCCCAACAATTTTATTGATTTTACTAATCACACTTATATACAATAATACAGGGAGATATACAAGGTATCTAAAAGTAAATATAGAAAACAAACAAACTAAATTACATAGATGATTTATTTCCAATAATGACCCGACCTATAGTATAAGAAAGAAATATAAGTTGAGGGCAGCAGATGCTACTTAAATGGAAGTTGTGATGTTATATTTGGAGGTAAAATGTAAACATTATTAGTGGAACTATATATGTGACAACTAAGTATAGAAAGACAGTTGAATACAAATCCTTTTTAGGATAACCAAATTCTATGTATGTTGGTGAGAGAACCCCTAGCTCAAAGCGAAGTAAGGGAGAACAACTAAGGCTATGAAAATAGCACATGTCGGATATCAAACTGTAGTATGTAACAACTCTGAAAGATTAGTGAGAATATTGGGTCCATTTTGAGAAAGGTTAGGGTTGACCATACATATAGTCCCTAACGAGAATTAAGTAGCACATTTAGAGGTGGTATAATCATTATTGTGAGTTATGAGCTTTTGGAAGCATGTCGGATATCTGTATAATATGGAATTTTTGTATAAGAGTTAGAAGATAGATAGAGTAAGGAGCATTCATTTGGTCTAGATGAAGTTATGTGCTAAGTATTGCGTGTTGGTTAATTTTGATAACCAAAACATAAACATGGAAGCATAAACTTTGGATCTTTAATCTCAAATATATCAAAAGAAAACTTTAAACCTAAAAGAACGATTACATACCTGATTTCATTATGATCTTCGAATCTGAAGAACTAGAGTTGGGTTTTCCAGTTGATCTTAAGAGCTCTCTCTAAAATCTCTCAACAAACCCTAAACGAATTTTCATGTGTATTTCGTGTGTATTGATTTGCTCCTCATCATATATATATTTATAGATGGATATAAACCCTAATGTGAGAGATGGAAGGGATCTTGAAGATCTTGAGTCAAACCGGGAACTCAACCCACAAGGTAAGTAATTATTCTATAAAGCGGTTCATCAACAATTTATATTCTTACCTTAATAACTGGGTTTAATGATAACATTACATAATATATAATATATATATATATATATATATATATATATATATATATATATAATATATATATATATATGATGTGGTCCCATAATTATCTAACAATCTGTAACACTCGTGTTTCTAGCCTAGACATTAATCTTGATATGATAGTCTAGGTTAACCTTTGTAACTCATTTTGAAGAAATGAAAAAGGAATTATGTGAATTCTATGTGTTTTATGCTTAATTACTAGGAGTTAATTAATTAAGAATAAAAAAATGAGCGTCGAAAATAAATATTAGATAAAGCTGATATCTATTAAGAAAGTTGTAGTGGTCGTGACAAGGATTACGGATATATAAAGAGCGCCTAAATCCGAGTTATAATGAAGAAGTTATGATCTGTCGAAGTTTGGCGACAAAACCGGCACGGTGCCGAAGGACGTAAAAAGTGAGTTTTTGATAAACTACTTTTTAGCCTTAGTGATCTAAAAAAAAGTCGTAGTGTTCATTAAACTGAGAGTATGTATAATAAGAACGCCTAAATCTGACTTCGTATGAGGAAGTTATGATTTTTCTAAGTTTCAGCTTAGCAGTAGACAGCTAAAAAACTTGAATTTTAGATCGAGTGATTTTTAGCCAACACGACCTAAACGAGAATCGAAGGTCTCGTAAATAGTAGCACAACAGTAAAAAGTCTGACGAAAACGGACGTCGGATGAAGAAGTTATGAATTTTTAACGGATTTCCTGTCCCGGTCTATTAAAAATAATAATATAAAAATTAAAGTCAAAATTAGCCGACGAAGTCTAAAGGAAAGTTGTAGAGAGTAATTTTTAACCTACGCGTGCATATAAAGAAAGTCAAAAACGAAGCTCGTATGCGAAAGTGATGGATTTTAGAAGTTTTTGCACAAAAACCGAGAAAAAGCACAAAATATGAGGAATTTCGCATGGCCCAACTTCGGCCACGTCACCCTCGCCTCGCTGCTGACCCGTGTCCAATGCTGATGACGAGTCCGAAGCGTGGCCCAGTCAGAGACCGACGCGTGTCGCATAGGTGGCCTGTCCGAAGCGAGCCACGTCTCGCCTACAAGCTTCCGACGAGCCCTTCGCATCCGAGCCACCTCCGACCCTAACAGCTGCTGCGTGGAGCCTTCTCAGCCATTCAAACTTCGGTC